AAGTTAGTAAGTAAGTATTCAATTTCCCAAAACTAAAATCACTTCATTACTTGGTTGAAATTATAGCAAGTGATGCAGGTTTCATTAATCAGTTGCAACTTCCAAGTGATTTAAAAAAAAAAAAGAAAAGAAAAGAAAAGAAAAAGAATGCGTGGTTGAGAAGCTGATGGGGCAAAGTTGCAGGGTTAATGTCAGTTTCTGGGAGGTGGAGAAAAGTCAAAGATTGTGGAAAGAGCAAATGAACCGTCAAACAGGAGCTTCTAGAATGTTTTCACTCCACTCTGTCATGCACTCCATCTATCACATCAATATATCATTTTCCAAATTCAACAATTTAAGTATCATTTAATACTGGATCTTAATTTTTTTAATTAATTTATCGCTATCCTTTAACTTGAATTGGTACATGACAGGGCTGTGATTTCTTTCATGCATAATTGTTCATGTTAATTAATTAAGTAAAATTAATTATATCATTCTTATTCAGGTCAAAAGAATTATACTTCTTTTATTTAAAAAATAAAATATTTTTATCAGAATCTCACCCCTAATAAAATAATTACTCATGTTCCAACTAATTCTGTCTTTTCATATTTATTCTTATTAAACACCCTATAATAAATATAAAGTTATTATTAATAGAGGTATTTTAAAAAAAAAAGACAATGATTATTCTTTAAAAAACTAAAAATACTATATATTTTTTAACATTAAACTCTTCAAAAAAAATATTTACATTTTTTAACTGGGAGTACCATTCTTAATAATTTTGGGAAAGAATGAATTAGAAAGGAGAGACCATTTACTTGATTTATTCTATTATTTCAGTTGTTTATTTATTAACGTGACTTTAGCAGCGTGTTGCTACGTACTCAGCTAACCCAAAAAAGATTGTTATTGGAAAGAATAATAATTACTGAGTAATGAAGGACTAGTTTTGGCGCCGAACATGACCCCTCCAAAGATGCTGGTCAATGCAGAACTAAACATGCAAACTCGGATTTGGTTTTGTATTTATTTAAATTTAAAGTGTTTTGAAATAGATGCATGCCTGTGATGAAAATTCTCAAATGAAATATTTACGATTTCAACTCTCAAATTTTTTTTGCACCTCAATTCTATATTCAATTATAAATCAAAACATAGTTACTGTTTTGTAACAATATATATATATATCTGGCCTTAGATTTATATATATATGATCATATTAATTTCCATATCCTATTCTGACAGATTTTAAATATTCATATTTTTTCTATTATGTAAGAAATTATAAGGAAAAAAGTCATGTAACAATGTTGAGTTTTTTTCCCTTCTATTCTGGTATCCTTGATCTTTGACCCAAATTAGTTCGATTGACAACTCAAGAGCACCTCTTTGGGGCATACGTCACTGCTGCTCTTTTAAGGTTTAAACTCAAAACTTATAATTAAATTAATTAAATCAACACCTAGTTAGATCAAGACATTGGATGACTTGAGTGTTTTTAAATTAGAAACGTTGTCCAGACGATGCTAAATGCTTGCAAAGGAGAATGTGGGCCTTTTGGGCACGGCCCATCTTGGAATGCATCAATCATGTTTGTCAGAGAAGAGAGGTTGGAACCAAGAGCCATGGGTCATGATGGCATAAAATATTGCTCATTGAGGAAAGTCATATGTTGGAACCCATGCTAAGTGTGTCGAGCGTGGGTTCAATCGTTAAGATTTAAAAAAGACAAATATCTTCAAGAATGTGTGTGTGTGTGTCTTTTTGTAGTTAATATCGTGAAGCATATATGGTATATCTATTCTTATTCCCAATGACAAGTGGCATAGGGGTAATCAAGCAAAATATATTCATCGGGGTAATGTAATGTAATGGTTGGTTTGTCAACGTCAACAACAATGAACTTACCCAAATACAGCATCACCTTAAATGTTGACTAACCCAACTTGGTTTAATGGAGTCTTATCCAAGATTCATTCTCACCCATGTCATGTCTGCTTCATTTTTTAACATGGGAACCTTTTCTAACAGTAAAATTGTTTTGTCACTTTTATCCTTACATCTCTGCCATTAAACAAATCATGCTGCTTACTAATCAAATAAAAAGGTTAGTAAGTATTCAATTTCCCAAAACTAGAATCACGTCATTGCTTGGTTAAAATTATAGCAAGTGATGTTGGTTTCACTAATCAGTTGCAAGTGATTAAAAAAAAAAACAAAAGAAACGAAAAAGAATGTGCGGTTGAGAAGCTGATGGGGCAAAGTTGCAGGTTTATTGTCAGTTTGCTGGGAGGTGGAGAAAAGTCAAAGATTGTGGAGATTGCAAATGAGCCGCCGAACGGGAGCTTCTAGAATGTCTTCCCTCCACCCCACCCTTTCCATGCATCATGCACTCCCTCTATTACATCAATATATCATATTTTAAATTCAACAATTTAAATATTATTTTATCTTGTTAAAAAATATAAAATATTTTTAATTTTTTAAAATATAATTATTATTTTTAAAAAATATTTCTATTGATAATAACTTTATTTAATATAAATTATTTAATGAGGATAAATATAAAAAAAATTAATTTAAAAATAAGTAATTATTTTATTAAAAAGTAAAATTTAATTAAAAATATTTTATATTTTTAAACAGAAGGAGTACAAGTTAATAAAGAGAATCACTTAATACTATATCTTATTTTTTAATTAATTTATTGTCATCCTTTAACTTGAATTGATACATGACAGCGCTGTGATTTCTCTCATGTATGATTGTTCATGTTAATTAATTAAGTAAAATTAATTATATCATTCTTATTCAGTTCAAAAAAAATTATATCATTCTTAACAATTTGGGGAAAGAATGAATTATAAAGGAGAGACCATTTGCTTGATTTATTCTATTATTTCAGTTGTTTCTTTATTAGCGTGACCGCAGCAAGCACGTTGCTACGTACTCAGTTAAGCCAAAAAACAAAAATAATCTTTTTCACAAAATATGGACACAATTCAAACTACAGAGAATCAAATCAAAACTCATATTCATTCCTTAAAAAATATAAAATATTTTTAATCAAATCTCAGCCTAATAAAGTAATTATTTACATTCAAACTAATCCTATATTTTTATATTTACTTTTATCAAAACCCTATAATAAATATAAAGTCATTATTAATAAATGTACTTTTAAAAAAAGACAATGATTATACCTCAAAAGACTAAAAATATCTTATATTTTTAAACATTCAACTTTTTAAAAAATATTTATATTTTTAAACAGAAGGAATTTGTATATGTATGTACGCACGCACGCATGCTTGCATGCACACTAAAATCGTCACAGCTGATAAATCATGTGTAATATAATTTATATTTATCACCATATTTTTTAATTTTAATTTCAAATAATGAGATATGGATTCCTAATTTCCTTTTGCTTATAAATATGAAGAAAGAAAATTAAATTTAATAAAATTAAAATATTTTAAACGCTAAAGATAGAATGAAACAAAGAACTGAGACAAAAGGACTTCCCTCTTAATTCATTGTTCTCTTTTTTTTTTAAAAAAAGTAATTTTTAAAAATCCAAATCCATAAGAATGAAAATTTCAAAATCCAGAAAAACATGTCCTGATGATTGACATAAATGACAAAACAAAAAAAGGAACGAAGAAAATGGCAATACTTTTGTTTAAACTTTCCTAATTATATTCAAGAATAAATGTGCATTTTTACTATTAAAATATTTTTTAAAAAGTACCCAATATCTTAAAGTATTTATTTTGACATTTTCACTTCTTAATAGTTATATCAGAGCATTTTCAACTCTAATGATAAATCCTTACATACATCCATTAAATAATGTTTTGTGGACCCCGTGTCATAGAATGTTTTGATTTAACTATACGACTATGGGAATTTAACGTCGGGATAGAAAATACTTTGATTTAATTGTTTTAGAGACAAAAATACTACAACAAGCAATTTAGAACACTGGGTATTTTTTAAAGAATGTTTTAAAGTGAAAAAACACTTTTATCCTATGTTCAAACATTCACACAAGGATAGAGAGAAAGACTCCTCTCATATCATGACCACACAACAATGACTTAAGAAAGAGAATAGCTAACAAACATCAGCAACTGGACATTCCACTCCAGACAACTTCAAGGAAGTTCCTCCAATGGATATTCTTTCATTTTTTTTTAAAAAAAAAACTTCTCCAAAACTTTCTCATTATGAAACCGCAAAGAAACAGCTGCATAATTTTTTTTAAAAAATATATCAAATATTTTAAAGTCAAACAAACGTGAAAGTATAAAAGAATGTCACAATGAAGAATATGCAGGAAATATATTTTTATATTTGTTTTTTGTATTTATTGCACTGCATCCAATCAATACATGATTGTGAAATTTGAAATGTTTAAATATGAAAAGGAGATCTGCAAGTTCCCGTAAGCTGAAATAACAAAGAAAGAGCTGTGTGTAGAATAATAAAATCAAGTGTATGAAGACAACTAGGCAAGGCTGGCTTATATAACACATACAGAGTTTGAGCTTCCAAGAGAATTTGGATTTCAATAATGCAAGTCAATAAATTTAATATGGCCGAGCCAATGTCATTTTCCTATCCAATAAAAAAAAAACTTATTTCGTGAACAATGTATTTCTTTTCTTTTTCTTTTTTTGTCTCCTACAATTATACTGTCCATATTACCTCGCTCGAGAAAGTTTCCGCCCCACTTTGAAAATGCTTGCCATGACCTGCCAGCTTTCTCATTTATCCTCTTCTCCTACAATAACAGTGTTAATTAACACCTCCTCTCTCTCTTAAAAATTAAAAGCATATTAACGCCGTTTAAACTGCAAACTAACCACTACATAAACACATTGACTTCTATAATGCCTATGCCATCGGCCAATAGGAAGGAAAAGAAGAAGGTAATGACATCATGTCGTAGGCTTCTCTATAAAAAGGAAGGCTCTAGTTCTGTTTAATAAAGCTATCAAAATAAACTCAACATTCACATACATAGCTAATTCATCTGAATTAGAATAATATGCCCTTCAAAGCCTTCCTGTTTGGCTGTTTAAAGGCCAAGAATAAGGACCCATCCTCTGATCCAGCTCCAGTCACCAGAAAGACACCTTCAAGGAGACTATCCCTCTCTGATTTGAGCAATGTTTCTTCAATCTCTATCATAAGTGATCTATCCAACTCTGTTCTCGGATCAAATCTTCATGCTTTCACTTTCAAAGAGCTCCAAGAGATCACTAACAACTTCAGCAGAAGCAGCGTTCTTGGAGAAGGTGGGTTCGGCAAGGTGTATAAAGGCTTCATTGATGACAAGCTTAGGCCTGGATTAAAACCTCAAGTTGTGGCAGTTAAGGTGTTAGACTTGGACGGGAAACAAGGCCATAGAGAGTGGTTGGTAAGCAGCAACATTATTTCTCACCTTTAGATGAAATGGGTAAATTGCAATAAATGAAAAACATTTGAGTGAGAATCTCCAAGTGGTTCTCACGGTCAGAGTACTCTCTCTGTTTTCTTAACATATTAGACTTTGTGCAGTACATTATACTATTGTCATTATTGTCATGCAAAGAAAATCATTTGTTTTTCTAATCATGTGATGGAATTTAATGGATAGGCTGAAGTAATATTTCTGGGGCAATTGAAGCATCCCAATCTGGTGAACCTAATTGGGTATTGCTGCAAAGACGAGAACAGGCTACTGGTATACGAATACATGGAAAGAGGCAATTTAGAGGACAAGCTTTTTAAAGGTAATTGAATTCATACTTATCTCGTTCTGAAATTAATGAAGCAGAGATTAGTCTTCTGAGCAGCAAAATGAAAAGCAGAGTGATTCTTTTCTCTGATGAATGCAGGCTATTCAGCGGCCTTGCCATGGTTAACAAGAATCAAAATCGCAATTGGAGCAGCAAAAGGTCTTGCTTTTCTTCACGAAGAAGAGAAACCGGTTATATACAGAGATGTTAAAGCCTCAAACATACTATTAGATGCCGTAAGTTCTTTCAGAGCCTCTATCAACATGACCATCATATACTGAACTATTCATCAATTTTTCTGCCTATAATCAAACTCAAACTGAGAATACATATATTCAAATAATCAGGGCTACAATGCTAAGCTGTCTGATTTTGGGCTAGCGATAGATGGTCCAGAGGAAGATCAGAGCCATATCACAACTCGAGTTATGGGTACCCACGGCTATGCTGCTCCGGAGTATATCATGACAGGTTTTTTATTGTTGCTTTTGAAGCCAAACCCTATTTTCATGTGCTAAAAGCCAATAAAGTATCGTCTAAAAAATTCAAATTTGTATCTCATTCAGGACATTTGACAACCATGAGCGATGTATACAGCTATGGGGTGGTTCTCTTAGAGCTACTTACAGGAAAGAGATCAGTGGACGGTAATCGACCTTCGAGAGAGCAGGATTTGGTAGTATGGGCCAGACCTCTTCTGAAAGATGCCCAGAAACTTCAAAGAATAATGGATCCAAGACTGGAGGGTCAATACTCCATTGAAGGAGCTAGGAAGGTGGCTGCTTTGGTTCACCAATGTCTGAGTCATCAGGCCAAGACTCGACCATCAATGCGCACAGTGGTCAAGTCACTAGAGCCTATAATGAACCTCGCTGACATTCCACCAGGCCATTTTGTCTATGTCGTTCCAAATGAGAGTGAAATTGAAGGTTGGGTACCAATTGATATTGAAAAACGAGTAGAGGATGAGAACAAGGAGAAGAAGGCGGGGACGCAGAAGGGCCGGCCAAGGAATCGGAAAAATCGAAGACGTAAACGACAGATTAAGCCACTGAAGTCTCGTGCCGTTTACACCGATACGACGTTGTATAAAACTCTTGGTACTAGTTTGTACTTTGTACACTCAAATTAGTGAAATGAATTGATCTTTAATCTTCTCTTGTTTTCGTTGTAAGTAAAAGATCGGCAAAGAAATAGAATAGAATAAGAAGATAGAGAAAGAGAATGTGATGATACGAAGACGTATGTTTGCTTGTTTTATTTAAATTTCCATTAATTGATGTAAATATAAAATTATTATAAACCTATATCATACCTTTTTTAATCCTTGTTGCTAACTTATAATCTTGGGATACATTTTTTTCCGCCTCTCTTTGAAAACTAGTTTATCTTGTTTAAAATTAATTATTTATCAAGCAGCTCGTGGTTAATGTTGTTCCCAACATGATTTACTGGAGTTCATTATTATTATTACTAGTATCACTATTACTTCTACTATTATTATACCACTACTACACTATAAAAATCTAAACATTTTGGTTACCTAAGTCTCCCATAATATAATTGCATTAAGATTTATGAATGCTACTCCCCTTTTTCTACTATAAGGCATGTTTTAGAATATTTTATGCTTCAATTATTTCTGAAGCAATTGTAGAATATTTACGAGTAGTTGATGTGTTTATTCTAAAAATGTCCTGACAAATAAAAAATTACTTGACCCCATTAATTTGGTTCATTTCCCATAAAGAGAGTCATTTGTACTTAACGATTGTATTCAATTAAGAGTATATGTAAAAAGATTACAATGTTTCAGCGACATCAACTAGTTAGATTATATTAGTCTGAAAGAGTTACCTAAAAATGTCTTGTAATAATAAAAAAAATTGAGAGGGTATATATTATTTTTTCATGTTATTCTTTTCTAATACAATCATGGAGATAATTTTATTCACAAATTTTAGGCGTCCTGGAAGAACTCCCATTATCTTTTTTTTGTTTTTAATTCGTTTTTGGTCTTTATATATTGTCGGGGAGCTTGTGTTTTTTTGCAGGGTAGACGTGACGTGGGAATACTGGAGAGATATTTGTGACCGTTCATGCTTCATGCTGTGGCTTAGGGATGAAGAAATCAATCAAAGGATCGCAATTAACAAAAGCATTTTAGTTAACAAGTCACAAAAAGTAGTGTTGAAAAAATGGTTAATGAGTTTAATCCACAAGAGAAACGGGCCAAATCAGCCATTGACCTACCCCGTTGACTGGCGACGTGTATTGTCAAAGAAAAGGACTCTTCTTAAACTACATTATTAATCAACAAGATTTAAATTCGTAGCCCTCAAATTCTTCATCATCATACTTTTTAACTGTCACATGACTCTTGATGTATTGGATTATGTCAGTCACGTACCCTCCTTTTGCGTGTGGGGATTAAACTAAGGAAAATTTCGCCAATATAAGTGTTTCGGATTGAAATTCACGTTGTTGGCCCATAGGAAAAAAGAAGAAAGAAAAACGAAGTCTGATGAGGTTCACATTGATTTAGTAATCCACATCACCAGATGGATCATTCAAGTTGAGGTGCTTGAAACTTCCTTGGCCTTCATGCTATGCTCGAAATGTTTGGTGCAGTATAAATATTTTTAATGGATTATTGGAAACGAGGATTAAAAAATATTGTTTGGTATGTTACTATGTTTGAAAAGAAATAATACTTTTTACATAATGGTGGGTACTCCTATAGAAATAAAAAGAGAAAATGATAATAAAATTTTTTTAAAATATATAAGTAATAATTTAATCATTCAAAATGTCACAATTTTATAAAATTTTAAGAAACTTTTTTATCATCAATCACAGAAAATTCTTTTTAAACTTAAGGAAAATTATCACATTTTGAAGAATTAAATTGTTACTTATATATTTCAGAAGAATTTTATTGTCATCTTCCCAAATAAAAAAAGAATGAAATTGAATAAAATAAAGATATATTGAAATGATTTATCAACGCAAAATGACCAAAATTGTTGCTAGTTTCCCAACTTTAATGCGGCAATTTTGGAGTTTCTAATTTTCCTGGGTATATGATATCATTTCGTGGCTGATTTAATGAATTGATGCTGAAAATTTACATACGACAAAATTAGGCTGCGTGTATGTGTGAAATGAAGTTGAAAAACCTCATAGGCTCAAGGTTTTTAAGTTAATATGTACTTATGTGATGTTTTTCATTATATTCTTCATTGTCTCTCATCTTATTTGGAGCTTCACTCCCTGTTCATGTTTTTGTTTCTTACAAACAGTATATATTTGTCTTAGACTTCTTTGAAAATGCACTTTTAAGTCCATAATTGGACAGCGTTTGAAACACAAAAATAGAACTAGTACATGATAGCAAGGACTCAATGATTATAGCATTTTGAAGATGTGAGTGGAGTTGAGAATTGATGTGAAAAATCCTAAATGAAATGTGAGACTTAAAAAGTAAGAAAGTATAAACTAGAACATTAAGATTCATAATATTTGATATATTTAGAGATCCTAAAGAAGAGGCAAATTTGGGAAGGTGGGTGGGGAAGGGAGTCATATATATGTGTTGTTTTCATTGTTCACCAAACCCAGTGTGGGGTTCGTGAAAATCACTCGTGGCGATTCTAATATCACTAATTAAGAATCTATGCGTCTTTCAATTAATTTGGTGAGATGTTGCCAAACAATCTACCCCAACACTGATTTGATCGTTACTAATCAAATCCATTCCCATCTTCTCATGAGTCATAGTGTTTTTTTTTAACTGCTGGTGCATGCCAAATTATAGCCTTAATTTATGATTATGCATATAGTTTGTGTTTAGTTTATTGCTTGATGGGTTGGTTTATTGCTCAAACGTTTCATCATTTCAACGTGATGAGTCTCGTTCCTGTTTTTGGTCCAAAAAAGAATCTCATTCCTCCAAAAGTTGAATCACTCATGTCATTTAATTTTAAAATCAACGTTTTGTTCCAAGATGAATGCGATCTAATTTAGATGTATTTTCCTTAATAATAATCTCATTAATTCAGCAAGCAGGAAAAAAAAAAGATGAATATTCGTGTGGAATATGCTGGTGATATCATTCAATCAATACATGATTGGATATATATACATATATAGCCAGTTTTCATCAAAGCAATGTTGCAATGTAAGCACTGAGTGAATAAGTGAGCAACGAAGTCAATACATGTATTAACTTCTTTGTACACATGATCAAAGAATGCTTTCCTTAAAAAACAAAAATAGCATAAATGTGTGGAAGGCTTCATAGAAATGGACTCATCTTTATGGGGGCAAAATAGGATATTTTTGGAGAATTTTCATTCCATAGCCTACACGATGAACCATTTGAGATACATTTTGTGTCCTTCAAGAATGGGTGGGTGCTTTCCTTTCTGATATGTATGCTGAATTTCTTCTAAAAATTATGTTTCTTGGCTTTGACTTACTCAAGTTGTCCTTGGATGTCTCTTGGAAAGTAGGAGTTAGCACCTTTAGCTGGTAACTTTGGGAGATCTCGCAATTGAAGAGTTTTTGCTAATGAAACTTCTGATGATTTCTCTTTTTTGATTCAAGTTAGGGCCATTATTAACCATACTCTTAAAGTTTTCCCTACTTTTAAGGTTTTACATACCTGATTGTGTCGCTATTTTGTTACATTTCTAGATCCCATCATTTGTATGCTCTGTAAAGTTTTTGATTAATGAAATTTCCTCTTCAGTGGGGGGAAAATGATTGGGTGGGTGCTCAAAGCCCAATTTATCAAATTAATTCTTATAAAAAAATAAATATAACAATGATTTTCTTTTTCATTACAAAGTGAGTATTCGTATCAGAGATATAATTTTCCTTTCTTTTTAAAATAAATTAGTTTGTTTTGCTGAAAAATAGAAGAAATTAGTTTGTGTTAGGTTGTATAAATGTGAGTGAATTAGAGAAGATGTGGAAAGTCTCATATTAAATAAAATTAAATTTAATAACTAATATATAATAAAGAGGAGTGATCTATAAACTAAAATATATTGAAATTTGAGTTAAGATATTGTGTTTTTGCCTACAATAGAGACTTATGTGGGCTACATCATTTAAAGCCTAAAAATTGGGCTCTCCTTAAAAATAGAGACTTGGTGCCGTTCTCGGGCAATCGCTTTCCAATCCCAAATATGTGATATTAGAGCTCAATTTCCCTGACCACTGAGATTTGTAAGCCTATTATTGCACACTTTTATTTTCCAAAAATGAGACTTGGCTAGCTGTAGTATTCTTTGAAGCTCAAAAAAGCTAGGCTTGCTCTAAAATAAGGACTTAGTGTTTTGGATTTTTTTGATATGAGGAGCTTGTGAACTTACACTCAAGGAGAAGATTGTTAGGTTGTTTAAATATGAGTTGATGAATAAAATTGAGTTTAATAATTAATATATAATAAAAAAAAGATATGTAAACTTGAGCTTTAATGTTTTAAGTGGAGAAATGATATTATTCATTTAATCCTGCTTGTCTTTCCTTTTTCCCATTTTCGGGTAGTTACTTCACATGCCTAACAGTTTAGATTATTTTCTTACCACACTATGTCTTTTAAAATTTAAATCAAATGATTATATGAAATTTAAATCTTGAATTATAAGTCCATGGATGATTTGAACTCTAAACGTTTGTCAAAATAGGGCCTAATGTGAAATTTTAACCAAATGAGTGAGAGAGATGGATAGTGAAATTTGGTAAAAATCACACATTAAGCCTTAATTTTTTAAAAAATTAGCAAACGTTTATTGAAATTTAATGATGGGGGGCAAACTTATCCAACTTTAATTATTTAGGGTTCATAATGTATTTTTGAAAAGTTTAGGGTTCAAATTATCCCTAAACATATAATTTAAAATTTAAATTATATATTAACCCTAAATCAAACTTATATGTGGTTCATATGCCATTTATTTTCTTAATTTTGGTCATTTCCATTACAAATTCAAGATGGGCATAATATTGTGAATGTTAACATGACTAATAAAGATAATTTTAATAGTTAGCCAAGGATTATGGCCTATAACACATAAGGTTTTATGATCAAATCTTAATTGCTACTAATATAAAAATGTTGTTGATAGAAAATTTGTAAATATATTTATAAACGCTTTTTGATCCTAAAAGCATGTTTGAGACTCAACTCATCCCTAAACTCTTTTTTTTTAACCAAAAAAAAAAAGAATTTTAATTAAATGTAAAATTTAAATGGTGAAAAACAATGAACAAAGAAGAGAATCCCAATCACAAACTGATGAGCAGAGAAGGT